TTTATTTCCTGCTGGTGTTCTACAGTACGGTAAACGAATAAAAGTGGAACGAAAAGCAGTTATTTAAATTGTAAGAGATTTTTAAGCACAGCAATAATACAAGGAGCATAAAAGTTCAGGAAGTAGGAAGCTTTGGGGCATTAAATAGCTTTCCTTTGGGAACTTTTTTGATACTAAGTCCTATTTTGTTTATCGTACTCGTAGTCATAGAGGCAGCTAGGTCTATACACTAGTAAATTACATCTGGGACATTTTAAACTACAAAGAATTAACTTGTGTAGAATGATGTGTCTTTGTTTGCTGCTAATTCAATGGATCTTCAGCAAAACTTTGAGACTTGGGAAACACCTTCGGAGAAAATAACATGAAGATAACAAACAGAAACTGCATATATGATCCAGTAGCCGTAAAGTGCAAGGATTTAGAGCAGGTGGAAGAATTTAAGTATTTAGGATGCACTCCGGGAAGTGAAGAAATTCAAATGAATAAAATAAAGTAATAACCGAGAAATTTCTAGAGATACTACAAATCCGTCTTTCTTCCAATTCTTCTATGGGGGGCAGAAACCTGGACATTAACGAAGAAACAGAAAAGTCAAATCCAAGGCGTAGAAATAAAATATTAAATGAGGGCGTTGGGAGTAGCAAGGATGGATCATTTTAGGAATAATGACATAAGGAAAGAGTAAAGGCGGTTCCAGTACGAAAATTATAGAAAAAAGTCCGTTACGTTCCTTTGGTCGTGTCAACAGAATGGATGAGAGAAGGCACGTGAAGAAGATGACAGGCGCATGTAATATATAAGCGAGGAAGAGGAAGGCCGACATTGACGTTGGATGGAGAAATAGAAAAATTCTGGAGTTCTGGAGAAAAAGGGGTATATGCACAATAAGCAAGAAGAAACACGGCAAACGTTTGTTATCGGAATATGAAAACAGCTTTGCACCAAATGGCAGAAAGGACAAAATATAACTCAAACGTTTGGAAAAAAGTTGTATAAACCTGATGTCAAAAAAATAGTTCACCAGCAAAGCTATCCAACGATGTAAAGATGTAGAGATATACATGGTGTTCTAATAAAAGGCAACACTTTTCCTAAATTAGTTTAAAATCGATGATAGTAAAAGTGTGAACTAAGATCTAAATATCTTCAAAAATGGTGTATCTGCGAGTCGTTAATGCTGGGCATTCTTTCAGACGCTTGACCGAATGATATTGTAAACAGTTGACAATTGATAATCAAAAATATACAGAGTGGCGTATCGAAAACGAAGCAGACGCATTTACTGTCAGCTCAGTTTTTTTTTGGAAAAACGCACAGACCTGTCGATTTTGTTTTCGAGGGACACAAGTTTGGCAAAAAATCACGTTAGCACGTGCAGCCTCCTAAGCGGGGGTGACACCACCCCCAAAATCTTAAATGGTAAGGGGGGTCGAGTGATACCTTATTTTAAAGGTCTTTCAATTCCCTTTATAATGATATAAAATTAATGTAATTGTAATTACGTAAAGCGTAATGTGGTGGGGCACCATCCTGTTGGAACATCAACCTATTCGCAATGTACCGCGGATCATTCTGATTTTCAATTATGTCTGTTAATACAGGATCTATGGCGTCTTCCAGTAATTCCAAATACATTTTACCGGTCAAATTTCCAGCTAACAAAAAAGGACCAAGTGAATGATCGCCAAAGATACCAGCCCAAACATTTAATTTTTGTGGCTGCTGTGTATGAACCTCATGATAAATTCTGGGATTAGAATCGGACCAATATCGACAGTTATGACGATTTACTACGCCATTTAAGAAAAAGGAAAATTCGAAAAAGCAAGTATTGAATAGAAAATGTTCATCGTTTATAATTCGTTCACTCATATCTTCACAAAATCATAATCGCCGATCAAAATCGTCTTCATTAAGTTCTTGTACCAGGTGAATTTTATACGGATGAAAACTATGGGCCTTTAGAACCCGTTGGACAGTACGTCGACTAACACCACACGTCTCCAATTTGCGGGTACTTAACGTAGGATCTACATAAACGTGCCCTAAAACCCCTACTTCTATTGCTTCGTTCCTTATGGGACTTTCAATGTTGCGTTTTTTATTGGCGACTGACCCAGTTTTCCGAAATTTAGCTATAAGTTCTAGAACGTATTTTCGATGCACGTTGTTGTTCTCATGTCGCTCATTAAATATTTCTGCTGTTCTATTAGCGCACTGATTATTTCCGAAAAATATTTCGATAATTTCAACTCTTTCTGCTGTGGAATATACCATGGTTAATTTATATCATAAAGCGTCACAAGTTATTTTAGCAACAAAGCTTGGTCAAACCAATCGCAAACTATGTACTAAATTCCTATTTAAAATAAGCTCGAGAGATTTCCTTATCTTTCTTCAAGAAATAACTTTTCTGCCACAGAAAAACGCTCCAATAGCTATTTTCAACAACAAAATGATAAACAAACCATGGGCGTAGTGAAGAAAAGCATTTACTTATTAAGTACATTCTTTTAGTCAAATTTCTTCTGAAAGTAGTACAAACTAATCTGATATACCTATTAAAGTCTACTTTAAGCTTTAAATCAATAAATCTTCAAAACTACTGAACTGAAGCTCATGTATTTCACATCATTATAAAGGGAATTGAAAGACCTTTAAAATAAGGTATCACTCGACCCCCCTTTCCATTTAAGATTTTGGAGGTAGTGTCACCCCCGCCCAGGGGGCTGCACGTGTTAACGTGATTTTTTGCAAAACTTGTGTCCCCCTCGAAAACAAAATCGACGGGTCTGAGCGTTTTTCCAAAAAAAAAAACTGAGCTGCCAGTAAATGCGTCTCTTTCGTTTTCGATGCGCCACCCTGTATGTTATAGGTATGACATTTTTAGAAGCTTTATTCAAACATCCGATAAAATATATATAAATATATGTTCTATTTAAAAAAAATGTTTGCTATGGCACGAAGCTATGGGACCCTGTATATATTAAAATAGTTTAACATTTTTGATTTTAATTGAACATATCAAGGTTTCCAAGCAAGCAAATGTTTGATATCATTTCAGTATGCTGATGGCACAAATTAAAAGTCTATCGCAGATATTTCAAACTAAAAAACAGATTGAAGCTCCAGCTCAACTTCCTGAAAAGTTGTAGCTATTTATATATAGCCCATCTATTCAAAATATACACCTACTACTTTCAGTCAATGGAAAGTTGGGAGGGTCAGATTCCAAACTGGTAACGCTACACAACTTCGTCGAACTCTACCTCTGCGAAAGGTGTATCTTTGCAGGAAATAACACGGGAGAGTTACGGCGCCCTATTTTATAACTAGTTCCAATTTTGTTGGAGATAAAAGTAAAAACAGCCTGAGCGCGCGAGTGCCACCTATATTTATACGCAGCCAACTCCAAACTTTCCCAGGCAGTGGAAGTTTTAATGAGTCCGCTGGAAACAAACTTCGCATAAAGCCTAACTCGGATAATTTAATGATCGTCTAATTGCTACTTTTCAACGCGTCCACGTGTACAATATGCGCCCTACATATATGCTAGGATGATACATTCCTTGGGTGCAACAAGTACATCTATTCTGAAGAGCGGAGTTTTACACGCTGGCGTGATCTTCGCATTCACGAAATTGTATCCGTCTGAACCAACAAATTCGAACAGATTAGAAGAAGCGAAGCCTATACGTGTAAACGTGATGATAGTCATTATTTAAATGAGTCAAAACGGCATTTTTTTTACAGAAAAGTGATTTTAAAGTGAAATTAAATCTGACAACGCCGCAATGCCACACGCAGATTACGACGGAACGCAGTGTAAATAAAGATGGAGTTTGTTATTTTTTGCTCTTAGGTATTATTTCATTATTTGAAAATGTACTCGTAAAATGCAAATAATTAAAAAAAGCGGACTTACCACTAACTGTCTCAGCACTTCATCTGGTGTGTGAAAGTTTATTGAACGTATTAAAAAAATCCACTTATGAATAGGGAATACAATTTTGATAAATACATAGTTTTCCACCTTAAAATACACTGCACTTTTTTGTATTCAAAGAAGGTGTTCAAAATGTCGTCCTCCACTTTCCACAAAAGCTTCATTACGACGAACCCAGTTTCTTCTTACTCTAGGTCATTGATTCCCAAAGTGGTCTATATCGAAATTGTGTAAGTTGTAGGATGTTGGTATTCGCTTTGTGGTCGCAATACATTTTGAACTTGTGAAAACCTGAGAGTCGCAGTCTCGGAGCTTCGCTACCTTGCACTGACTTGTTCAATTCGTCACTCTATAAATACGAATATGGGACAAATACGTTTATTCGTTTCCTGAATCTTGAAAACGAAAGTGCTAAGAAAATATTTTAAAAAATATAAACAGATAGTATATCACACAAATTATAGTAAGTCAGTGTTATTTTGTTTGAGAGTGCTGGAGAAAAGTAAGTACATTATTTTTTATTAAATTTTAGTTTTGTACTCGTAGTTAGCAAAGATAGATAAATTACGCCAATAATGACTTTAGTTATTAGTAGTTAAATAATCAATCATGCAAAATTACGCGAGTACTCCTCAATAGTTTCTTTTTGAATGTTCTAGCAATCGGTAATATAATTACAGTGCAATCTCCGTAATTCGAGCTAATTGTTGCAAGAAGATGTTCGAATTATGGAATGTTTTCGGAAAAATCAAAAAGTATTTTTAATATACAGCTGCTGGATTTTCTGTCTTATTTAAATAATTTAATTTTGCCCACAGATGCCATGTCCGAATCTAAAAAGAAATGTAGACAGTACAGTGTTGATTATTTGAAATTTGGCTTCATTCCATCATTGCCGGACAAACAGTCGCCTATGTGCCTTTTATGCAACAAAGTTTTGGGCAATGACGCTACGAAACCATCTAAACTGCAAGATCATCTGAGAAGATGCCACCCTGATAAAACAGAGAAAGATGTGAAATACTTTCAAACACTCAAAGATAAATTTCAGAAGAGACCTATACTGGACACAATGTTCGCTTCGACGCCACAAAGAAATGATGATGGTTTGCGAGCGTCTTACAATATCCCGTTACTTATAGCAAAATCCGGAAAGTCGCACACTGTCGGAGAGAAGTTAATTTTGCCAGCTCTTGAAGAGGTTTTAAAAACTGTCTTACACAAACCTGCATCTGATATCATTAAAAGAATTCCCTTAAGCAACAATACTGTTGAAAGACGTATTGATGAAGTGAGTACTGATATTGAAAGCTTCTTATGTAATTATTTGCAAACGACCCATTTCTCTATACAACTGGAAGAGTCAACTTTACCTGATAATGCAGCATTATTACTGGCATATGTTCGTTTTATTACGAATTAAGAAATCTACGAAGAACTGCTCTTCGCAAGAACTTTGATAACCGACACTAAAGGTGAATCAATATTTCATGTTTTGAAGGATTACTTCATTGAAAAAGCAATTCCTTTATCAAATATAATATCAGTAGCTACAGATGGAGCACCTGCCATGGTTGGACGTTATCGTGGATTTATAAGCTATTTAAAACAAAATGTGTCAGGGGTGTTAGCAATACATTGCGTCATCCATCGACCACATTTAGTTGCTAAAAATTTGAGTGTTAGATTGCATGAATCACTGCATTTAGTCATTGATGCAGTAAACCGAATCCGAAGCAACGCGTTGAATACGCGGTTAATTGCGCAGTTGTGTGAAGAAAATGACGAACACTTTCATCAATTACTCCTTCACACTGAAGTACGCTGGCTGTCGAAATGCTTATGTTTGACAAGATTTTTTGCACTCTTTGAGACTATTTTAGAATTTCTGGATACTAAAGATAAAATTTTAAAAGAAAATTTAATGAAGAGGAAAACAGACATCGCCTATTTAACAGAATTGTTTACAAAATTTAATATGGTTAGGTTGCAATTACAAGGCGACAGTTTAAATTTGATTAAAACAAAGTCCATCTTATCAGGGTTTCTTGCCAGAGTTAAACTAATGAAGCAAAATATTGGACGGGGCGAGTTATCTGTTCCCCAGTTTGTCACAGACAAGCTGCCAGGAAGACGACGTTTCAACTTACGTTCAACATTTAAATGCCCTCTATTCATATTTTGAATCTAGGTTTGAGGATATTTTGACTATGGTAATGCCACCGTGGATAATTAATCCATATGGTGACATAGAAGAAACCAATGTCATAATACAACAGGAACTGACTGAACTAAGTACAAAACAACATACCCGTTACTTATCCCGTATTATGGAATATAGCGAGGAAATTTTTAATTTCCTTTCCATCGTCATACCTAGTGGAAAGGGGGTTCAGCGCTGTTACCAATCTCCTAACGAAAAAAAGAAACAGACTGGACATCATTAGCCGAGGAGATTTAAGATTAACCCTTACAAAATTGACGCCAAATGTTGATAATTTATTATTAAAGCATCAGGTTCATCCTTCTCACTAAAAATATTGACTTATTGCTTATGTTATTTTATTTATAGTTTATTTTATGTTTATTGGTGTCTGACCAATAAATGTTCTGCATTAGGAATAAGTGCCCGCATTGATTTTTTGTTAAAGAACCCCCCTTTATGGAAAATATTTTTTTTTAAATTATTCTGAAAATTCAAGGATAGGTACACACTAAAATTCGTTAATTTTTTACCTATTTTTAGATAACTTAATCGTATAAGAAGTGGAATTTAATCAAACTAACAGTGAAATTATTGTAGAACATACGTTTATGTTATAATTAATGAACGAACTCGATTATTGCACTATTTTAAGTAAAAAACCTTTTTTTTATTATTTTTTACTTTTTTTTATATTATCCCTCTTATTTTTTTTTCAATGCGGGCACTTATTCCCAATGCGGGCACTTATTGGTCAGACACCTGTTTATTTAATGTTACGTATATTTTACATAATAGATACAAAATTTTATTTTCAGTAGTTTTAATTTAAATTCAATTAATACATGTATAAATTAACATGTGTTTTTCCTTTAAGTTTTTAACACTAAACTTCACTACAGTTAGAAATTTACAGGAAATCAATATCAGGTAAGTAGGGGGTCTACCCAACATGGAAAAACATGGCAAGGGGTCTACGACACAAAAAAGTTTGGGGAACTCTGCTCTAGGTCCTCGAAGTTGTCCATTTATTATTTCAGCCGCATTAAAATTTCTTTCGCGAAGTTGTGCTTCGGTTGTTATCGGACCAGCCCCATAAACCATCCCTTAAAGTTCTCCCCAATACCAGAAATCCATCGGATTGGGGTCAGGGGACCTTGCTGGCCATTTTCGAGGATCAGGAGTATCTCAACCGATCCAGCGATTTGTTGTTCATTCAAATACTGAATCACGCCTCTAAAAATGTGTGGTGGTGCCCCGTCATGAAGAAACCACAAATTCTGTCTCCGTTGTAATCGCATGTTGTCTAAGGTCTCTTCCAAAAGCTCTGATAGGTTATTGGCTAGAAAGCTAAGGTATCCTTCTCTTGACAACTCTGGGGGTAATTATGTAAATTATAAAGCCATTTAGACAAAAAGCTCTTGACTTTTGGACCATGGGTCAAATGAACCTTTTGACTTGTTTTGACCTCCCCTACTACCCATTTCAATAATGACTGCCATAACGTTTACACCCTGTATGTTTGCATTGCATTGTTTGTCGCTTAAATGTCATCAAATTATAAAAAAATATAAGTTATCTAGGTTTAAATCTGAAGCGGTACGTTTCACTAACCTGAAAAAAATATTCCGGTAACCTTTAAGGAAGCTATGACCTTCGGTCATGACGTCACAAGACATAAGTCCGGCTTCTGGGCCACGGCACTGATGCAGTCAGACCACGCGACGGTCCTTGCATATCGCATTCATCCTTAGCCGTCAAGCTGGCCAGTTGCAATTTATGGTTAGTACCTTGGCTGTGCGATATTATAGATGTAGAATAAATACAATGCAAATTTTTTTATTGGATAGCTATAGTGACAATAATAAAATAGAAGCAGGAATTTCCATTATGTAGCTTTCCCCAAAAAAAAATTCAGCTCGGAACTAGCCGTCATTTTTTTCATCTCCACTAGTGTAGTAGCTGTGAATGTTGCCTAAACGTCAAAACACTTAAGTCGTATCGTTTGGCTCGTAACACCTGCTTCAGAGATGAAAGTAGTGAGGACCATTGATAAATTCTACGGACCAAGCTGCATATTCTATACTCTGTGCCATTCCTCGATAGATGGCGCTCATACAGATTAGCTGTGGAATCGGCTAGCAACTACTTAGTACACAACTTGACATTATACCGATTTCAATGATATTATATCGCATTCTTCCGTAATATTCCTACCGCTCTAACATCTGTCTTTCGTACACATTGAAACCCAACACGTCGCTGGTGCATTACTGTATAATAATTTGTGAGAAGTAAACACCCCACGTGGTTACGTTTTTTTCACAGCACAGCAGTAGCGTCCATTATTCATACTTACTGGGGCACTAAAACTGTAAACAGCAAGTGTACGAGTACCTTAACTGATGACCACAGTTTGCGTTAAAACACACTGTAAATGTAGTTGTCGTGTAAAAATGGCTGTTAGGAACGCGTTGTCTGTTTTTAACTGTGGTTTACAGCTGCAAAAAGGGCATGTCTGTATGCAATGGCCCTGCTGTCCGTTGTGTGCTGTCCAGTGTGAAATGGAGTTTATTAATCCCCTTTCATAGTGTGACGCTCCAGTAAACCATAGTTAGTCACTTTGCGAGATTAGCGGTATTTTCGCTCAGTTCGTTACGTCACACAGTTAATGTAATAATAATAAATAATAAATCGTTTTTATCAGAGGGCGAAGTTTAGCATAATGCTACTCTGCCACTTAAACCCAAAAAACAATAAAAGGGTACAAACGTTTGATAAGTTTGTTAAAAATGTGTATAAAATATGGTGTAGATAAAATATAAGTAAGTGAACTATTTCAGGTTTTAAAAGCATACATTGTAATATACTAAGTGACATATAAATCCGAACACCCAGTTTAAATGGTTTTATTTCAATAAAAGTTGGTGAATGTATTTATCTTACTGTAAATAACAAGTGAAAAAATTTTCAGCCTTATCAGTTGGACATTCCGGTTTTTATACTACTTTTTTTTAATTCACTACCGCTCTAAAAATGAATATTTCAGCCGCAGTAAAGAATCAACGTTGGCGGATTTTGGTTCTTGACATCCTTTACGATCGGTTACGATGCCTAGAGTACGGAGACCTGTACGATTTCGTCAACTTAGTGAGTTTGATAGGGGCCGTATAGTGGGACTTCGGGAAGCTGGACTTTCTCTTCGGGCAATTGCAGTTAGAGTGCAAAGAAGTGTAGACACTGTGGTTAGGTGTTGTCAGGCATGGCTTCGAGAAGGCCGTACGCAAGGAGCAAGGGGCACTGGACGCCGCCGTAGAACAACAGCCCGTGAAGATCGCCGCCTAAGATTATTGGCCAGGTTCATTGCAAATAAATGGTTTGCAGAACACGGAAGACCTATTGGCATGCGAAGTGTTTACCGACGAATGAGAAGTTTTGGCTTGTTTTCATACCGGCCACACTGGGTCCTCCCTTTAACTCGAGAACACCGACGTAATAGCCTTGAGTGGTTCAGACAACGGTCACTCTGGCATCAGGAATGGAACTGTATTGTCTTTAGTGACGAGTCTCGATTTTGTTTAGGCATGCACGATGGTCGTGCCAGGGTTAGAACGCGACGTGGTGAAAGGAGGAATCCACAGTTTTTTGTTGAAAGACATGTTCATCACACTGTTGGAATTATGGTTTGGGGTGCTATAGCTTATGGTTCCAGGTCACCTTTAATCTTCATCAGAGGTAACATGAACGCGCAGCGTTATATCCACGAAGTTCTAGAACCCCATCTTTTACCCTATCTTGACACCCTGGCAGATCCAACTTTCCAACAAGGTAATGCCCGACCACATGTTGCAAGAGTCACAATAGACTTCTTTCAACATAATGATGTCACATTGTTACCATGGCCACCAAGATCTCCCGACTTATCCCCAATTGAGCACGTGTGGGATATGATGGGTAGGAGATTGCTCGATTTGCAACGTCCTCCTCAGACTCTAGAAGCACTTCGAGAGGAGTTGGTGGTTGCCTGGAATGATATACCACAGGAGGACATTGACCACCTGATCAGAAGCATGCCTAGGCGCGTTGGAGAATGCGTAGCACATCAGGGTGCATCCACACATGATTAAAGGTCAAAGGGCTTTAAAGCAGTGCAATCATTTTGAAATTTTTATCATTTACTTATTATGCTTCATTAAGTACTTATACAAAATTTTATTAAA